AAATTACAAGGCGTCGGGTATTTACATCGCCAAAGACAAACCCTTTAAAAATAAATAAAGCGATAAAAAATAATAAAAGTCCTATTAAGCTATTACAATCCGGGAGCAAGTACAATATTGAATAAATAGATCGCGTGCGGGAAATTAAATCGAGCGCAAAGTTCTAGGGTTTTGACCCTTTTTTTGTTAAAGAAAAGATTTTTTTGTTGTTTTTTAATTTAAGAGAGAAATCAACCTAAGTTAATTACTAAATCAAATTAATTAATTAATTAATAAAATAAATTATTTTTGGGTTTTTGGTATTTTAAGAAAGAAATAAAAATTAATTAATGTTAGTAAAAACTTAATTAAGTCTAGTTAATTTTAATTATTTACAAAAATATATTAAAGTTATTTCTAATTAATGGCCTAAATTAATTAATAGATTTGTTAATAAAAAATAAAGTACTAAAATTTAATTTGATAAAGAAAATATTTTGTGGTTTTAATTTTATAAAGGAAAAAATTTGATTGGTTAGAAAATAATAAATCAATTAAATCAATAAAAAAAAATTAAATAAAAGAAATAAAGAGAAGAGGTTTGGGCCTGAAAGGGTGTCTGGATAGAAATCTTATGGCCCATTAAGCACTGGCCTAGTTTGACTTTTAGGATTCCATGTGTGCACTTGGACTTGACTCCATGGTGGACTCTCAGCCTGGATCACCAGATCTGGCCTTTGGCCATCTGGCTGTAGGATGTGTGAAGGCCTATGGTATGTTGCAAGCCTGGATCTGTACCTGATTACATGAAAAAAAAAAGGAGAAAATGCAAAGTGCTGGAGGCAGGGATCGAACCCCTAACCTCCAGCTATCAACGCCTTGGAATTGGACACGTTGACCACTGGGCCACTTTGTTCATTTGATAATAATATACAAAAGAAATATAATGAAGTAAAACCAGTCAATATGCCAGCAAAGCAAAAAGAAGCGCGCTTGGTTTGAACGGGCAAATTGGAGAATGACACGCCATCGTCCCTGTCGTTGGACCGTGGCTAAAACACTCCAAACCTATACCAACGAACAACAGTCTGTAGCTATAAGCCAGGCCATCTCCAAAACTTGCTACGTGCCATAAAAATGCAATTCAAGGGCATGGTCATGCTCGTCTTGACCTCCCGGTCCTAACCATGCCCTTCTCGATGGCCAATTATCCCTGAAATAAAAACGCCTAAAAATGACCAAGAAACCCTAGCTATGGCATCTCACAGTATAGGTCATAAAAACAAAATTGAATAATGCAAAAAGCTTAGAGACATTGTGAGGATTATGAATATGCAAGTAATTTGTACAAAGGATGCAAGAATGATGATTTACGAATTCAAATGCAGAGCTAGGTAACGTGATGCTTACAGCGTGTTTGGGCGTGTATGGAATCCTTCTTTGGATTGGTTTCGCCTCAGTGGACGTCCAGGAATCGATTGGGATGCTTCTTGGCTTCTGAAAACACCTCTAGGCACGATTTTGATCTCAAGCTTTTTACCACTTTTTTCAAGTTTTGTTCTCTCTATGCCTGCAACCTCTAACCCTTATTTTCGTGTGCCTCTCTTGCTTATGTATGAGACAAGGTGTTAGGGTAACAAATATGGATGGAATCTCTCTAAATCAATGCATTACAATGTGATTTAATTCACTCTTTAAAGCTTGCCAAATTTGTCAAATCTCCATCTTTTTGTACATGATATGCTTGATACGAATTTTTATGATGATCATGATGATAATTAAGACCTGAAACAACCAAAAAGATCTTAGGTAATCAAAGTTTGGATTTTATTTGATTTAATTTGATTTAAAATGAAATAATTCAATAGAAAATCAAATCAAATAATAAAAATAAGATACGGGCTCATGGCTGAAGCTAGGACACGTGGACAATGATGCAAGCTCAAATCAAGTGGAAAAGAATGAGCCCATTTGACAAAATTTGAAGTTTTGGGGATAGTTGACTTTTGGCAATTTTGCAAAAATGCCCAACTTCAACAATGCATAACTTCTTCAATTTTGAACTTTTGGAGGTGTTTTTGTACTTTTTAGAAATCTTGAGATGTCCTATAACCAACCTATTTGGTTTCATCTTATTTTGATATTCCATGCTCAAGTTATAAGCTTTGGAAAAAAAAGTGTTTTTGTTGACTTTCAAAAATGACCTATAATGTCCAAATTTATAACTTCTTGTGAGTGCATTTTCTGATCTTGGGGTATGAAGATGGATTGTTTAAAATTGAATCCTATTCAAAATGAGATTTGGATGGGTCATTTATCATAAAGTATTAGAAAGTTATGCTTGGTCAAAGTTGAGTTGACTTTTCCTATAAAAACCCTAATTTAGCAACTTTTGAGTCTTGAAGAATTTTGAGCAATCCTTGATGAATCATGATCAACCCTTGATCAAATGATGAAATATCCTTCAAAATGAGAATGTTGACAAAAAATCTTGAAGTTTGACTGTATTTGGGTCACAGTTGACTTTTGCCATAGCACAGTCGATTTTTGGACCTTTTGAGCATTTGACTGAGCAAACTTCCTCTGCAAGGCTTGAATTTTGACATGGATGACCTTGAGAACATATTAGGACATTGGAGAGTACTTGAGGTCATTTGGACTCAAGGATCTTGATGCAACACAAAAACCCTAATTTAGGGTTGACTGCCTTAGGAGATAGCTTGACTGTCCAACTCTTGAGCAATCTTGAGCCACTTAGAGATTTTTCTTGCAATGTTTGGATAAATATGAGAGGGCAAACTTTGAGGTACAACAGCTGCCCCTGTTCAATCTTCTTAGACCTGAGGATGTAGATTGGCTTTCGTGCCTTTCGTGATCCGAAGGTGGAAGATGATTGAACACTAGAGTGCCCAGAAATTTGCACTCGCATGAAGTGGTATCAGCCTTGTGATGTCGGGAATGGGATTACAGATGCCCTTTGGAGATTGTTGGAGGGAGGATGGGTTTAAAGATGCCATCTGCATGAGTGTCGATCGCATAAGAGATTCCTTAGCGAGAACTTGCATACCTGTTGTTGTGGAAAATTCCGCTGGGGAAGCCTGGTTTTTGTTAAGATTTAGGAACTTGCCTGTGCTTCAACTAAGAGAATGCCTCTGTTGAGTTTTAAGAACTTGTCCGTAATTTAACTGGGGGGAAACATCTTCATCAAGATCTAGGACTGTCTGGTCTTCAATGGAGTATAATTCTGTTGAGATTTTAGAACTCGTCCACACTACGACGGAGGAAATTGTCGAGATTGAGAACCTTATCTGTAATTCAACCGAGAATTATTCAGTTGAGATTTAAGAACCGGTCAGGTCTTCGACTGAGGGAAACATCTTCATCAAGATCTAGGACTGTCTGGTCTTCAACGGAGGATAATTCTGTTGAGATTTTAGAACTTGTCCACACTACGGCGGAGGAAATTGTCGAGATTGAGAACCTTATCTGTAATTCAACCGAGGATAATTCAGTTGAAATTAACAACCAGTAAGGTCTTCGACTGAGGGAAACATATTCATCAAGATCTAGGCTTGTCTGGTCTTCAACAGAGTATAATTCTGTTGAGATTTTAGAACTCGTCGACACTACGACGGAGGAAATTGTCGAGATTGAGAACCTTATCTGTAATTCAACCGAGGATACACTACAAGAAAATTAGTGTTTAACGACACAAAAATTGCGACAGTTATGTGATAACTGTCGTAATTGACATATAGAGACAGTGTTTACGACAGTTGACACCAACCGTCCTTAATATTTATTTTGCGACGGTATATTTAACCATCATAATATTATTATTACGACGGTAAAACAACCGTCGGCCCCCATTTAACACTTTTAACATTGATTTTTCACCAACAACTAGTCACGACGGTAAAATTAACCTTCCTAAAAGGCATATCACGACGGTAAAGCACCCGTCGCACCCTTAAACCTTTCACGACGGTAAAATTATCCGTCCTAAAATTCATTTCACGACGGTAAAACAACCGTCGCACCCAAAACCTTTAAAAATTCTCATGGGCACGACGGTAAAACACCCGTCGCCGTAAAAAAGTTAAAAAAAGCCGAGTTGTACCGCAATTTGATTTTCCGGGCATACGAGAGAAAAGAGAACTATGCCAATCCCCAATCACCAACTGAAAGAGAAACAAAACTTCCCTATTCTCTAAAGCTTGCCACCCCGTGGAAGGTCATCTAATGTTGTGGCGGCCTTGAGCTCTTCTTCTTTCCGGTGGCCGGGTTAGCACCCCTCTAAGCCCCTGTACCCGAAACAGATGCGGTTTAGCAGGGGCTTGCCAGGTATTTCCTGGGGTTTTCCATCCGGGCTTTAATGCGGCTAGAGACGGATCCAACGAATAGCTAAGGTTCGTTGACGATCCCTGGCTACAGCTAGCTCATTTCAAGAAAGCAAACAAGTGCCCGTAAGGCGTTCCTCTAGTAAGGCACCATCACCAGCGCACATGAGAAAAGGCCGTTGTTGCATAGCTCAGGTCGGAGAAACGCGCCATCGGACAGCAAGGGCAGTGATTGGCGAATCTATAGTTTCTGGTTCCTCTCTTTCTCGTCCGGGGTAGACGGGTCTACCAGGTACAATCATTTTCTACTCCTGCGTTCACTTTTTCTACTCACGGTGCCGTTCATGCCGTTCTTCTTCACACCGAAAGAAACCCCTTGACACCGAAAGGAATCTCTTCAAACCGCTCATCTTCACACCAAAAAACGCACAGCAAGAAGTTTAACATCCTCTGCGTTCATCTCTTCAAACACAGTATGTTTTATGTATCACTTTTTGCATTGTTCTCATCTCTCTCATTCTCTGCCATTGATTTCAGCATTGGAGATTCACTTGAATCTTATGGTTGAGCTCTTTGTGATGATTGATTTTGAGTTTGAATATATTGAATTGATGTTAGGTTTTCAAAATCTCCTTTTCTGCTACTAATCGTTCCGCAAGGGTCTTCATCGCACAAGATTCAATGTCATCAAGATTGGAATCAGCAAGTCACAAACTCGTCATCACAAAGGAGGTAATGAAATCTCATATTTTGATTCTTTCACTCTCAAATGAAAATAATTTTGGGTATTTGAATCACCACTATGACTTCATCACCGTGTTTGATCTCGGGGGTGTTTTGATGTTTCTCACTAATATGCAAGTTAAAGTCTTCGATCATCCTACTGTTTAGATCACAATTTTTGATCCCGTCGGAGCTTTGACATTAGATGATGGAGCTTTAGATCAGTGATGGCGATGGTGTTATTGTAGAGGCTAACGGTGGTGTCTTTTTCCATTAGTGTCAAGGTGTTTGTGAAAATGCATAGTTGAATATTGGAGTCCAGTAGCACGTTGACGCTGGTGTCTTTTGCCATTGGTGTCAAGGTGTTTGTTAAAATTCCTAGTTGAAGATTGGAGTCCCGTAACATCAGTATGTTCAAGAAGGGAATGAGTAGAGAGGATGCTCATCAAGTGTTTGTTGTAATGCTCAACTCCAGGTATGGCTGAGTTTATAGAATTCTGATATGCTATTCTATATAGTGCCTAGTGGGTGTTGTAAAAGGACTTTATAACCATTTAAGCATCATATTCTGTTGCAGAGTGTGATTCTGACCAAAGCATGTTTATTTGAGTGACTTGTGTTGCTTCTGTCATATTTGCTAGCAACAAAGGTTTTACTTGTTGAAATTGAATTAGATTCCTTTGTTTGGGAATTCAATTCTTATTCTTATTTTAGATTTTGGGGTTCTTAAACCTTGGTTGGGTTGCAGGACTTCTACCATTTCATCCTGATTTGCTAGGTTTGGTTCAACATTTCCTTCTACTTTTCTTGGTATGTTTTCTTAACTCTCTTGCATTTTCAACGTTATTAGTATTGTTTAACAAGTAATTCTATGATTAACTAGAGAACATATATGTTGTTCTTTGCCTTTGTATCATGATATTTTCACTTCTGTAACAAGTAGTACTACTATTTTGTAGCAAATGCTATGATGATTATTGATACAGAGTGTCTGCCAAAGTTGAAATCTAAGATAAATCTAGTAAGACTTTCTGATTATAATATTTTATTGGCAAATGTTAGAATCTAACTAATGGATCAAGTGAAATTATAAACCTCATGATTAGAATCTGTCCAAGGTTTCTCATATTAGCATTGCATGGTTTGTTTGAATCTCTTGATGAAAGATAACTGAGCTGGCTTTGTGTTGATTTCAATAGGCTTTGTGTTGATTTCTAACTCTCAAGTATCAATACTTCATTTCTTTCGTAATATAGACACTGACATAGCAGAGCTTTCATTCTTGTACAAGAAAGCATAAAGCTAATATAACTTAACTCAAGCTCATGAGAGCTTGTATAGAGTCTCCCTCATAATATAAAACACCTGTAGTGTAATCAACTATAACTGTTTTAGCTTCCTTGTAACTAGCTGCTTGACAGCCGTCAGTCAGTTAACCACCCTTCACTCATTTCAATCAATTTTCACTTGATAAATTCAACTAATAGCTCTAGCAATTCTACTGAATATTCATCTATGAGAAATCACAAAACTGTGATCTGAAAAAATTCAATAACATTCTACTTTAATACTTAACTAGACAAGAAATAGTCTTGGTGATTGTCATCTAAGAGAAGCAGAACATATATATTTTATATGTTGATAGGTGATTCTAGTTTGTCTTGCCGAAAAATCTAAAGTTACACTTGACAAATGAAATGACTCCCAAATAATGCAAAGCTAATCCCACACTCAGTATAGAATAACTATGTTTACTCTCCTGAAAATTTGGTATTAATATGCAACTAAAGAATTTAAACCCAAACTTTAAAAACTGTACTTTCAGGTATTTACTTGTACGTTGCTTCAAGAAATATCAGCGAATCATTGCTAGACTTTGTTAAAATCTCTTAGTCTTAACTACCTAGTTTCCATTTCCTCAATTCTTTTCTTTTCTATTGCTAACAAATATTTTACGTCGTTCTACGTGTGTCTGTTATGTCGAATAAGTAGGAACCCCCAAATAACTATGCCGTAGCTAATTACAGATTCTATTTGACAGATAATTTTAATACTTATAAATAATAATGTAGTTTGGCTTTGTAATATTGTTACTTATCAGTTCATAACTGCCTCTTTAAAAATTTAGTCTTGAAGAGCGAAGAACCTTTCCTTGAATGTGTTTATAAATAATAATGGATCTACATGTCTTATTTGTTGAAAATGAGCTGCATCCTCTTTTCTGTTAATGAGTTGTTCAGGATGAAGTAGTTGGTGGTTTCTAGTCGACGTTCATGCATGAACAAGATTATTGCTTAGAAATTTCAATTTCAATTCAAGTTTTCTGTCATGGATTTAATTAGTGTGGTACATCAAGAAATTCATGTGCAACAATATTACATGTTTAATGAACAAAGCTCTTCGACATTTCTACATATTGGGTTATCCCTGCCATGGTTATGTTTTTGGAGCATCACAATATAGCGGGGAAGCCTTTCATGGTGAAACAATATTGTGAGGGTGAAAAGCAGAAGATTTAAAGCACCTTTATTGTACTGATTTTTTGTATGTTTCCAGGTCCATTGTGTATTTTAGTGATTGCTTCATGTAATTCAAGTTGGCTGTGATTCACATCCCTACCAGCTTGAGGGAGGCTTTTAAAATATTCCTTTTAGCTAGTTAGTTAGAAATTAGCTAATTGTTAGTTACTCAATTAGGTACACAATTGAGTATATAAATTAGGTCACAATGTACACATTTCATTATCTTTTCAATAAACTTTTCATTATGTTACCAAATGAGTATTCATATGCTCTCAATAAATTAGGTCACAATGTACACAGATTATTGCTGACTTAGGTTTCAAGGAAACAAGAAATTCATGATTGTACCATGGAGTTCATCTATATGGTAATAGCCCTGAGAATGCATAATACCAACATCTTTTGGATACAGTTAAAAAGAAGTTAGCAAAGTGGAAACATAAGTAGCTACCAATGGTTGGCAGGATTACTTTTGCCAAATCTATGTTGGAAGCTACTCATACCTACTCCATGATGTGAAGAATGATCCCAATGAGCTGCCTCTAATAGATACAACAAAATGCAGAGATCTTTCATATGGGGATACAATGAATGTGCCAAACAACTTCATACAATCCACTGGAAGAAGATCACTTGTGCTAAGAATCAGGGAGGTTTGGGGCAAAGAAATCTCATTGACATTGGGCTTGCATCGCTAAACTGGCTTGGAAGTTAAAGAGTGGTGAAAGAGCTTTGTGGTGTGAAATCTCATTGATATTGGGTCTTCCTATCTTAGTCCTTTATTATAGGGAGTGTTAGTTTTTGAACTCAGTTGTAATTGGAGAGTGGCTTTCTAGAATCAGTCAGTTTATTGCATACTCTGAATTCTTTTGAGAATTCTTATCTTCTTTCCTTGTACCAGTTGAACCTTCCATAATTCATGTCATCTATCTTTAAATTGTTGACTCTGTCTTAACCCTTTATGCAGGAGAAGAAAGCTCTGAAGGAAGAAAAATTGAAGCAAGAGGAGAAATACACATGGGCTATTGTTGACGGTGTTAAAGAGAAGGTAAAGAAGAGAATGTTGATTGTGAGGAAAACTGCAAGAGAGGAATAAGTTTTGGAAGCCATTTTAGTAAAACTCTTGTAGTAATATAGCTAGTATTATGTTGCAAATACTAGTTATTAGCTACTATGGCTTAAGGGGAGAGTGTGAGTTATAGTTGTGTATGATATAGGGGTTTATATAGTGCTTGTGAGGTTTTACAATATACCATGTGGGATGAGTTGTATAAAGAAGTAATGGACAAAATGTATAATAATTATAAATTATGAAATGGTACAATAGGAGAGATTTTCCTGCCCCTCTTCCTCAATGATATTAGGACAATGAATTCTTACATGATGTCTTTGGTTTCACACCCAAGAAAAAGCTTAACAATGGTGAGCACAGAATGTCTGGTGGTGAAAAGGTGAGTTTTGTCCTGGTAGTTGTGCTACATAATCTCGTGATTTAGTTCATGAATTTCTCCAGATTTCACTTATTATCTGCTGATCTCCCTAAATTTTTTACATGCAGAGGATGTTCAAGTCACCAAATTCTGTTTTGAACAAGGCTAGGACCCAATTACTTAACAAGCAGCGGGTATTATCGGAGGTTAGCATTCTTGCTATATCAGTTGCATGATTTCATCTTTTCTGATTTATACATGATACAATTCAAAGTCTAAACATTTGTGAAAACCTTCGTTGAAATATATGTTCAATAAAATATGCCATTTATGAAAACTTTGCTGTCACTTATGCAAACATCTGATAAATTTAGATAGCACAAAATTACTTGTATTTGTCCCTTTGGATTTAGTTTGACTGGATTCCATTTTTGTTGAATCAAACAGGGCAGGAACTTCGGGCATTATTCAGTCAGTATGGGAGATGATGAGACATGAGTTTGAGTGGGAACACAATATGATGTAATGCTTTATTTCAGGATTATATTATTCATTTGGACATGTATTTATCGTGTCCACTGTCGCTTTGTTGTATGGAATTGTTTAACTTAATCGTTTGCGAACTAGATTCGGGTAATATCGTACGATATTACTTTAAAACAATACTCCAGCTGATTCTATTCTTATACAACACCTTTTATACCCCTTTTTGGCTTCTTTTATAAGAATATTTTTGTATTGATGTTAAATATTTTTTATTGAAATTATTTTTACTATATTACAAAGTGATAGAAAATAAAACAAAAAATAATACTATAAATAAATATATTAAAGAAGAAATAATTTAAAGAAAAAAAGAACACAAAAAAAAACTATATTTAAATTTTTTTACATAGATAATAATTTAAATAAAAAATATATATAATAGAAAAATAAAAAAAATCAAGACATAAACAAAAGTCATGGCGACAGTACCGAACCGTCGCCATAAACAATTTAATCAATTTCAAAATATATTCACGACAGTATCGAACCGTCGCCATCAATAATTAAAAGAAACTCAAAAGATAGTCACGACGGTATCAACCCGTCGTAAACTTGAACGACAGTTTTTGTAACCGTCACGAAATAGGTTGGGGACACACACTTCTGCGACGGTAAAGCAACCGTCGTGGAAAGCAAATTGCGACGGTTTTAACCGTCGTAATCTACAAAAATACCTGTCGCAATCTGCCAATTTTCTTGTAGTGATAATTCAGTTGAGATTAAGAATCGGTCAGGTCTTTGACTGAGGGAAACATCTTCATCAAGATCTAGGATTGTCTGGTCTTCAACGGAGTATAATTCTATAGAGATTTTAGAACTCGTCCACACTTCGACGGAGGAAAATTGTCGAGATTGAGAACCTTATCTGTAATTCAACTGAGGATAATTCAGTTGAGATTAAGAACCGGTCAGGTCTTCGACTGAGGGAAACATCTTCATCAAGATCTAGGACTGTCTGGTCTTCGACGGAGGATAATTTTGTTGAGATTTTAGAACTTGTCCACACTACGATGGAGGAAATTGTAGAGATTGAGAACCTTATCTGTAATTCAACCGAGGATAATTCATTTGAGGTTTAAGAACCGGCCAGGTCTTTGACTGAGGGAAACATCTTCATCAAGATCTAGGACTGTCTAGTCTTCAATGAAGGATAATTCTGTTGAGATTTTAGAACTAGTCCACACTACGACGGAGGAAATTGTCGAGATTGAGAACCTTATCTGTAATTCAACCGAGAATAATTCAGTTGAGATTTAAGAACCGGTCAGGTCTTCGACATAGCTGAGAAGTTAACTGCATCCTTCCTGAAAGGTAAAGGTCAGTCATATGCAATGCATGATATGGATCAAGCAATGATGTTCTCAAAATAAATGAGATTATGTTGTATGATGCGTATATGCATGTACCGTGATGTATGGAAATGTAATGTTTTAGCTGGGGAAAATAAATCCTGGATAGCTGCTGGAGAAAAGAGTTGAATTCTTCGTTCCTGCTGGGGATGACGAACAAAGATGATTGCGAGAATAAACCTGCAGGAGAGTATAACTCCGTTGGGGAATAAACTGATGAGGAGATTACTCTATGGGGAAGAGATGCTCTATTGAGGATTCCACTGATAAATTCCGTTGGGGATGAATTACCGTTGCTGGTGATATTGAATTCTACTGGGGATTTGAATTCCTGTTTGTGAAAGGAAAGAACTCTGTTGGGGATGATCTTTCAGTTGCGACTTCACTAGGGATAACTGTTGTACCCCAAAATTTGCCCTCCCATATTCTTCAAGAAATTGCCAAGTCAAGCTTCAAAGTTCCCCAAGGGTTGCACAGTGCAAGAGCCTCTTAAGCAGTCAAAACTAGGGTTTGTGTTCTGGTCAAGAAAATGAAGTTTTCAGAGGTCCAATCAAGTCTCACATGCCTACAAATATGGTCAAGTATCCTCATACCAAGTTGCAAGACATTCAGCTCAAAATTGCACAGTCAAAACCCTAAATTGCACTACAGTCAACTGTAGGGGCAAAATGGTCATTTGACAGTCAAAAGTTCAAATTTTTGGTCAACATATCATTTTGAAGCCACAAACATCATTTGATCAATGCTTGATCATGATTCTCAAAATTTGGCTCAAAAATCATCAAGATGCAAAAGTTTCCTTATTTGGACAGCTGAAAAAGTCAACTTAAATTGACCAAAGCATAACTTTCACATGGATTATCAGAAAAATTCCATCCAAAGCTCATTTTGAAGAGAAAGACATTTCCTACAGCTCATCTTCATACTTCAAGTCCAAGAAATGCTCTCACAAAAAGTTATCAATTTCAACATTATAGGTCATTTTCAAAAGTCAACAAAAAGGGACTTTAAGTCAAAGGCCATAACTTGAGATTGGTAAATCAAAATGCCATGGGACCAAAGGCATTGGTTAGAGGACTCAAAGACCTTTCCAAAATGTCATAGAACATGAGAAAAGCTTAAAATTGAGCAAGTTGTGCCTTATGGAAGTTGGGAAATTTTTGGATATTTTGAAATGTCAACATTACTTCAAATGACCTAAAATTGCTAATGGGCCCATTTTTCTTCCATGATTCATCATCCATGACATGTGCACGACCACTTGGCCCAAAGGGAAGTCTTTATTCATTTTTTATTTATTTATTTGAATTTTTATTTATAATAATTCATTTAAATCAAAATAAATGTATGAAAAATGCTAACCTAAAGTTTTAAATCTTTTTGTGCATGTTTTACTCTCAAGATTTCGTGCTTGTACCAATATGGAAAGATTTGGATTGATTGGCTTGATTGAGAGCAAAAAGCACATGGCAAATATTTGGAAAATAATGCTTGAAAATCAAATCTTCAAAACTATGAATGCAAGAGATTTGGATGATTCTTTTTGACCTAATTCACTACTACATATGCCAGGATCACAACCCTAATGCAAATACACACTGAGCTGCGCCCAAAAGCCATTATCAAACTTGGAAAATTTTGTCTAAAACTCAATTCTGAAAATCACATTGGAGGGCGATTCAAGGCAGAATTTTTGTTTCAATAGCTTGCTCAAGCATTACTGAACGATTCTCAATCAAGAATACTCATCAGAACCTCAAGAATTGGTAACACGAGTGCAAACTGTGTCAAATAAAATTCATAATCGTGCATCATGATTCACGCATCCTTTGTAACTTTTATTTATTGATTCATGTTCCTTATGAAATTCTGAAGCTAACCAATATATTTAATTGCATTTTTATGCTGTGTACGCGATTATGCCATGTTTGTGTTCTAGGGTTTACAGGACCTCAAAATTGGGGGTTTTTATTTAAAGAAAAAATAGCCCTCAAAACCACCACCATTCAACTCAGGACGTTCTGACGGTCATAAGGGAACCCTCGCGCTCAATTTATGAGCGTCGTAGGGCTAATCGCTATTTTCTGGTAGCATGCCTAAGAAAACGCGTAGAAAACCGTTGCATATTGCTTTTGTATTTCAGAAAAAAATCAAACACCATGAAGAAGATGATATCGTGGCATGAATTGGTTGGTCTGTTTGAAAGTCCGCGCGCAGAATCCACTAACATTCTTGTTTTCTTTTATAATATTTATTGGTTATTTATTAATCAGAACGCGCAAGTGGCTCCACTGACAAGGCATAAGACTGGTAATGTTAATGACCTGGGTTCGATCCCAGGTCTTCACTCTTTCCATTTGTTATTTTTCAATTAACGTTCATGTATAGCGCTTGAATTGAAGACCACGATACACCTCCATAATCCAGTCGTCCATGCGTCCAAGGGAATCAATCCAAAGGCTGAGAATTGATGAACACCATAAGCTTGAGTCAACATGCCAGCACGTGAATAAAAAAGTCCAATAAGGCCACAGTCAAATGGGCCTGAATTGCTAACAAGAGACCTCCATGTTGGGGACTACAACCCCCCTAGGTTTGCCATATTTTTCATTTAATTTAATTCTATTTCTTTTAATAATTGTTTTGTTCAATTTATTTAATTATTTTCATAAAATATAAAATACCATAAAAAAATCAGAAAAGAATCAAAAATAATAAATATTTCTATTTTCAATATTTTCCATAAATAAATTGTATATCATTATTTAGTTTTAAATTAGGTTGCAATTTTAACTCTTTTCATAATAAAATCTAAAAAATGTAGAACTAGGGTTTATTCAATTTTTCATTCCTCTTTAATTTTTTCTTTTTTATAATAATATTATTTATTTTATTTATTTTCATAATTAAATTTGTATATAAAAATTAGGTTTAATTTAGGTTAAATTCTAATGTTTTCTTAATAAATTAAAATAAAATAGAATTAGGGTTAGCGTTTGATTGCAATTAACTTTTTATATTAAATCATAAAATACTAAAAAAACACCAAAAAACAAATTCTTACTTTCTTTTAATTAATTAATTCGGCGTTAATTCAATTTTGCAAAAGGGTCCAACGCCGTCGTTCCGATTTAATTCTTAATTCGCATATTATTTTATTCTTTATAATATTATGTATCTCTCCCGAAGCCGTGTAATTACTTCTCGCACTTTATTTTTCCTTTATTTATTTTCCGTCAAATCGGGTCCTGGTTAATTTTGGCGATGTGGACCCGCGCCATTTGTAATAGCTTTAGATTTACTTTTCCCGCAAATATTTTTAACTGTTAATCAAAAGCATGAAAGAATGTATGGACAAAATAAAAACAAGCGTAGAACACCAATAACATGACAAGATAAATGCAAATGAAAACGACACACGAATCGCACACACCACCCCTAGGGTACGCCTCACTGTTGCCTTGCATAGAAAGGTGATCGTCGAGTAGAGGATGTCTTAGTAAGTCCTCATGATCCGGGAACCTGGCATGAGGGTAGCTTCTAAGGTATCTTCCTATTGCTCTGGTGATCACCATGTCCTGAACCCTCGAATTAACCCGAACA